GGGATGTCACTGCGGCTATGATCAGCCGTGGGATGTCACTGCAGCTATGATCAGCCGGGGGATGTCACTGCGGCTATGATCAGCCGTGGGATGTCACTGCAGCTATGATCAGCCGGGGGATGTCACTGCAGCTAAATGCAAATATTTAAGACATCCGTCTGCACTGTGGCTGAATTAATTGTGGCTTCCGGGACGTGTGTGTGTGTGTGTGTGTGTGTGTGTGTGTGTGCGTGTGTGGAAATGTTCCCCACAATAATAATATTTTGACATTGTGGGGACCATTTTTCAGGTCTCCACAAAGATCTGTGAATGCAATAAAAAAAATTTTTTAAAAAGTCTCATATTTAGTTTAATTACTTTTGGTTAGGGTTAGGGCTGGGTAGGGGTTAAGATCATGAGATTAGAATGATTAGAGTTTTCCCCATAGAAATGAATGGAGAGTCCCCACAAAGATAAAATTGCAAACCTGTGTGTGTGTGTGTGTGTGTGTGTGTGTGTGTAGGGTGTCCCTCTACCTGCCGTGTGTGTCCTACCCTGTCTGCGATAGGCTCCAGGCCCCCTGTAACCAGGCAGCTGGGAGATGGACGACCTTCCAGCCAGAAGCAGGAGTGGTATATTTAAGTGGAGCCGCTGGCACAGGGTGGGTCAGCATGCCCCCTGTCTCCCCCCCACCCCCCAGGCTGGGGAGATGACAGATCCTCAACTGCTGTCAGCTTCATCCTGACATTTCCCCCCTCTCTTCTCGTCTCCCTCCAGATTAAAAAAAAATCCAGGAACCAAAACAATACGGAACAGTAGACCTTCTTCCTCTCGCTCTCTCCATCTGTTTTTACAATACTGGACTGTAATTTTGGAAAAACTGCATCAGGAACATTTACTACTGGATGGGTAAATGGCTTCCTCCTCCAGTAATAGCAGCAGCTTATGTTTTTTCCCAGGATGCACTGCTCTCTCTCCCCAGAAGCATGGTATACATTACCAAAGACCTGCCTCAGTCAAGGAACTACCCCTGGAGTAGATGCTCAGCACTAACTACTAAAAACAGTGGAAAATGTCAATCCTTTCTTTAAACCTTTCACATTTTAGCATTGAAAGCCCCGCATCTACCAACCACGGATGGATGGAAGCAGAGTGTGTCACTGGTTTGCAGCAGAGCAGCCTGTGTTCCACATCCCAGCACTGCAGGCTGGTCTCTGCGGGTAATAAACTCAAGATGCTGGCGGTTCTCAGACACCAGGGACGGCCTGACAAATATTTCTATAGCAAACAACATGCAGAAATATGTCTGCAGTTTAGTCCAAGTTCCATCACTGTTTCCTCCGAAGGAACATTAATATGGAGTCAGGCTTTGGCTGCGGCCTGCCGCACATTCCTCCGGTGTAGGGCTAGCGGTACCACAGTGACGCACAGAGGAACGCTGCAGCCCCCCGTCTTACCTTGAGGGCCATGCAGTAGTCAGTGGGGGCCTTGTACTTGCTGCGGTAATCCTTCCCGTAGTAGACGTTCACGTGATCCAGCTGCAGGAAACACGCCAGGTCCCTGGAGGCCTGACATGGTGCGGAGAGGTGACACGCATCAGTGCTGCATGCATGCAGAGCCTGAGAGAGCAGCGAATGCAGGGCCTGAGCGTGCAGTGAATGCGGGGCCTGAGCGCGCAGGGAATGCGGGGCCTGAGCGCGCAGGGAATGCGGGGCCTGAGCGCGCAGGGATTGCGGGGCCTGAGCGCGCAGGGAATGCGGGGCCTGAGCGTGCAGGGAATGCGGGGCCTGAGCGTGCAGGGAATGCGGGGCCTGAGCGTGCAGGGAATGTGAGCCCTGAGCGTGCAGGGAATGTGGGGCTTGAACGTGCAGCGAATGCGGGGCTTGAACGTGCAGCGAATGCGGGGCCTGAGCGGGTAGGGAATAGGAGAATAAAGCAGGCCCATTAACGAAACACTCTCCCCTCAGTCTGACATGGCAAGCTCTGCAGCGCAGCTAGCCCAGAGAGCCAATGAGTAATGCAACAACAGATGCGGTGAACCAGAAGCTAATCCGTATCAGCGACAGAAAACCACGCGCAGAACCCCATGGTGGGGGACCTTCAGGGCCAGGGGCTTGCTCAACTCCCCCAGGCATGCAAAATGGTGCAACAGTTTGTACACAGATCGTTTTCTGATGGAAGACGATTAAAAATGACATGATCACCCTGACCCCCCCCCACGCAGATCGGAATGATACCCCCCCCAGAAGAAGAATTTAAGTCCCTCCTGATCCTTAGTTCCTAGTTTGTGGGAGTGGGTGCCTATTTCGTCTATTTTCAGTTGTTAGTCCTTGGTTTATTAGAGATTAAAAACCCCTGGGCTGAACAATGGCCAACATATGCTGACAAGCCTCACTTGTCCACTAGGTGGAGCTAAACTGAATCAGACACGACCGCTTGGAGAAAACAGGAAGTGTGCAATAGCAGAGCCAATGAAGCGTATGTCGCCGGGCACTCAGAGCCTGAGGACTTCAGCTCACGCAGTGCTTGGCTGTACCGAGCATCCATGTGTCAGTATGCAGACACCCTCAAGAGAGTCCGGCATCCATCTTGTCACACAACTTCGCTAAAGTGCTTCGGGGTTCTTGGACATGTTGAGGTTAAGGAGCAGCATCATAGGTATAAAAGCCCTGAGGTAACACACCGCCTTCTTCCTCAACCCATAGGCTGCCTGCTTGGGTTACCCCAAGTGTTTCTGTAATGTTGACGGTATTCCGTGCTAAGTTACCGTTTTGTGTGTCCTGTTTTGTGTCCTTGCCCAGAGCGGTGGGAAACCTCTCATGATGGCTTTGTGACACTGTGAGCCTCCTGTGCTGTGACAGCTTTTTTTTGTGCTCTATGGCGCCCCATACTGGTCGGCACACAGAAGTGCAGGGTGTGAACCACCTTTAGAGGAGGCCCTGGACACATCCTGCACACCAGCATCACACCAACCCTGTCCAATGTGTCATCTGTCATCACGGGGACACTGAGAAGGTGACCAGCTGGGCCTAGAGCTTACATCCCGGGACGCGGAGCCAGAGGCGGGCTGGCCCGGATCTACGGAGCCCCGTATCATTACATCTATAAACAGGAAATTCCAGAGTGGGGGATTCATTCGCCGACTGGTTCCCTAGCGAACGTGCTGCCCTACTGTCCAGTAACCCCAGGTCAGTCTGGGGTGTGGGGACACATCTGTCCTGAGGGGGTCTCCAGGGACCCAAAGCATCCAGTAATGCAGAGAGAGAACGAGAGAAAGACAGAGAGAGAGAGAGAGAGCAGCAAGCAGTGATACTCTACTACTATGTGACTCATGATGCGCTCATGCACAGATGAAGGATGCATCTCATGCGTGTCCCTGTATACACGTGTGTGTGTGTGTGTGTGTGTGTGTGTCTGATGGGCCTCACCTTGGCTTTGCCCTTCGGCACAAAGTAGATTCCGGAGGCGCGTAGCAGGAAGTAACGCTTCTTCCAGGACTTCTTCCCATCCTCTTTGAGCCAGAGCACCCCCTCCATCTCTGGAACTGACACAGAGTTGCCCCCGAAGCACTCCTACAGGGCGGACACAGGCGGAGAATCATCGGCCGCCCGGCAGCTCGCTCCCTCCGAGCTCCCCTCCGCCGCCGTCACTCTCATACCTCCAGCAGCGCCTCCTTGTTCCTGTCCGCCATCTCACAGGTCTCTCTCCTCCCCAGCAGGTAGTTCTACGAGACAGGAGGCATCGAAGACAGTGAGTATCGTACCACAGGCTCCGAGTCACTCGTCTCGCCGGTGCAGCCAATCAGAGAGCTTCTCGCCCCACAGCCGCCGTCATGCTGAATGACAGCGTGTCAGACAGACGGGAACAAAAGGAGCGAAGGCGGCAGGGACGCCACACCATCACCGATGTCACTGCGGCAACCTCACGCCCCTTCAGGCAAGAAGATGACGCACTGGAAGGTCCAGCAGGGGGCCCCCTCTTCTCTCTCCTCCCGGCGGCCTCACCTGAGGGTTCTTGAAGAGCGCGTACTTCTCGATGCGCTCGATGAACATCAGCTTGTTCATGCTGTCCCGGGTCCAGTTCAGCAGGTTCTCCACCAAGTTCTCGTGGTCCTCGAAGATCCGCTCTGAGGGAGAGACAAGAACCGTTTGCCTTGCGGCGAGGATAGTCACGGCAAGGCTCGTGGGGGTTTTAGCGTCAGCAACTACAGAAGGCAGTAACAAGACATCTGATTGGTTGGTCCTACCTCCACCAGCTGTTTGGACCCACCTCCTCTACAATCTGATTGGATATCGATCTAAACCAATAATTTTTCGTTCTGCCCTCAGAAACTTTTTAATGCATGTAAAACTCCTATGAGCCACGGCAAGTGTATAGTAAAATGCTGCTCCTTAGTGCCCCCCAGCATGCAAAGTAGCTTGTTTGACGTAATTCTATAAGTTTCTGCACTAACAACAGGTTCTGGGGGTGTGGCCTTCAGTCATGTGAGCAGGGTCACACCTGCCGATTAGTTCCACCTGATCCTCTTTCCCAGAAACGTTTACAAATGAGTTTGTTGTTTTTTCCACCCCCAGTGATTCAACCAAAAGGCCACTCAAGGCCTGCTGCTGGACCCTGTAATTTTCTTTTCAGGCTCTGCTGTTTCCTCTCAGTCTCTTTGATGTATGTAGTCTGTCCCATCCCTACAGAGTCACCATTAACCCCAGTAAACGCCCCGCTTTTATCCAAATAAACCTCCTGCCCATCTCTGTGATACATGGTTCCATCCCCTACACAAGACAGCCTCACAAGTCTACTGCTTTAAATGGGGAAAAAAGCTCCTTTGCCTATATAAACAAACGGACCATCCACTGAGCCACTGAAACCCTGCCCCCCCCCCCCCCAAATTCCTGGCTGGCAGTTTTACTGCAGGCCCAAACTACGCTGACCCTGGTGTTCGGTCCCCTCATAACCTGGGTCAGCTTCAGAACCGCCTCGACACGGACTTTGGGGATTCGGGGCAGTGCAAAGGCGCTGGGGTTAATGTAACCCCCTCCTCCCCCTGCCATTGGAATTCAGCCCCCCTCCCCCATCATTCTGGAGGGTGCTGTGTGGATGACTGCTAATTACAACACTAGTAAAGCTATTTTATAACATGCAGGCAAGGGGCGGGGGGGTGGGGGGGTGGACATGAAGATTAAAAATATAACGTAATAACAGTGCAGTAGGACACACAAGGCACAGCGGAGCGGTTACTGGGAGGTCAGCAGCACACAGGACCACAGAGCACTAAACGGTCGGGCCACAGTGCAGCCCAGCATCAACAAAACTGTAGCACGTAATACCAACTTCCAATGGTGTGTCTCTGCCTCCAGGGGGCGCTGTGTTAATGACAGCCAAATCCCTTCAGCAGCGAGGGGGAAAATGTGAGCACACCTGAATGATTACAGTATAGAATGATCTGAATGATTACAGTATAGAATGATCTGAATGATTACAGTATAGAATGATCTGAATGATTACAGTATAGAATGATCTGAATGATTATAGTATAGAATGATCTGAATGATTACAGTATAGCTGCTCGCAAACGTCTTCATTGGGCTCATCGGCACCATCATTATCCTTCTGGGTACTAATCTAGCCCCTACAGAGCCAGCTGCACATAAGAAGTACGGCGTAGCGAAAGGCTTCAAACCAAACAAGATCTGAGGCAGAAGGACCTCCTGTGTGCAGGAGGGCTGCCAAATGAGCAGGGGGTCAGGGGGACCGGGTTCCACACCCCCGTGTGGTGCACAGACAATGGCGCACGGAGGCCGGGATTACATGATGACATGTCGTATGCGATGAATCTCACACGCTGAGATCCTGTCATGTTATCGGACTGCACTTTACTGATAATTCACCCCGAAAACACGGCACACCGCAGAGATTCTTGTTATTTAACAACATCATGTAATCTGATTTCTCTCATAGTTCAGATTAATAGTGTCACGACACAAAATCCAGAACCGGTGTCACAGTCCAGCCAGGAAGATATGGCACCTCAGGCCAGTCCTGCGGTCTGGCTGATGGCCCCCCCGCCCCGTCGGCTGGTGTACACCCCCTTTCAGGGGAGCAGCATGAAGCCACCATCCAACCCCGAGGGTCTCAGTTTCCTCCCACTGACCCCATCGTCATGGCGTCTGTAAGGGCACCCCCCAATCCAGAAACCTCCGGAAGGGAATGAAATACGACCCACCCTCCCCCCCACAGATGAGTGCAAGTATAATCGTCAGTAATCCTGTTGATAGCCTGTGAATGGCACTGATGGGGGGGGGGTCATTCATTTTTAATGCTAATCTGTGCTGGGGTGACCCCCATGGATGGGAGCACTGTTTGCAGATGAATAGCCTAAATAAAAAGGGAGGGGGGGTGAAACAGGGTCTTCACTGTGGTGTGATGAGCTGGGAGACACATAAATGGCCATTCTGTGCAATTCCGGCTCAGCGGGGGTGATGGGGGGGGGGACTGATTTTTAACACCCTCTCAATTGCCCCCCCCCGGTCAGGAGAATGCAATACATTCTTTCAAAGTTTCTTATCAGACGTGTACAAGTGCTTGACTTGAATCTACCCAGCAATAGGTTATGAAGAGTAACTATCCAGCCCCTGCAAGCCTGCCATTGTGCCAACAGTTTAATCTGATGAGTCACTGCGTGGTCACTGTGTGGTCACTGCATGTTCCCCGTGCAGTCGCCAGATGGTCAGCCGCTCCACACTCACCCATCTGCAGCTCGCCAATGGTCTCCACCAGCGACCAGTCTGGGCTGTAGCCACAGTGGGACTTATCCAGCAGGTTGTCCAGAACCTGCCGGACGGTCTGGCGCTCGTCCACCATCATGGTCTTGGAACTCTCGTCTGACATGTGCACCCGGATCACCAGCTGGGGAGTTTGGGGACAAATGTGACAGTTACCTAAACTGATAAAAGGTACGCAGAGGCATGTCTGAACATCTGGAAACGATTCACTACAGTGCCAACTACAAAATGGGCCAAATCTCCTGAGAGAACAGCACCGTCATCCGCTCAGAGAAGATGCTGATATTAGAAAAGTCTCAGGGTGTCAGAATGTAATCGAGTGTTTGGCATCTACTCGCCCACAAAGGTTCCTCTTATATAGTGTCAATAACACACTTAACTATTCAATACACAGAGGGCAGCAGAGAGGGTAATAGAGCAGCGCTGCAGCCTGACATTGCAAGGGTCAGGGGTTCGAATCTCACCCCTGCTCCGAATGCAGAACTTGCATGTTTTATGTGGGTACTCTGCAGTGCAAAAATATGTAGTCAAGTGAACGGCTATCCCAAACTGCCCATTGTGTGTTACTGTGAGTTCTGTGGCCTGTACTTCCTGTGGAAGTTGCCCGCCTGCACTGGATAACTGGATGGACGGACTTGGGGGGGGAAGGCTCAGGGCCCCCCTGCCTGCACTGGATAACTGGATGGACGGACATGGGGGGGGAAGACCCCGGGCCCCCCTGCCTGCTGGATAAGTGGATGGACTGACATGGGGGGGGGAAGGCCCC